TTTTTTTTTTTTTTTTGGTTATATGTTTGTTTGAAGAGATTTTTATGCAAATTGCAAGTTGTGAGGGATCCTTTTCTTCATATTTCTTAAGTATCATCTAAGTTATTTCAATGTTCAAAATTGGAAAAACATCGCTGGCAATGGAAAGAACAGAAGCAGTGATTAATGGGCAAAGAAGCAATTCTTAGTGGGTTTCTATTTGTTTGACTAGAAAATTGTATAGTTTGGGTGTTTGGATACTAAGAAAATGCTTTCTGTTTAAATATGACAAAGCGTTTTGTTCATATCATCACTTTTTAAAATTTTGCTCTCCACATCATCAAAAAAAATATAAAAAATATTATATCTAGAGAGTTAATGGTCCAAATTAACAGAAAAACTAACGGTGTGCATTTGTTAGAGTTGAGAGATTAAAAGTGTAAAAAATTGTTGAGGGATAAAAAATATGCATTTCTTAAAGTTGAGGGATCAAATTTAATATTTAACCTAAAATTTTTATTGGTTGATCTAAAAATATAATTCTTTTTATTTTGGCTCAATGTTTCATAAGATTATTGACAACAAATATTTGAATTATGAATACAATCTTATCTAAGATAGGTTTTCTTTCTTTTTTTACACTAAAACAATTAGAAAATAAAGATTAAAATTACCAAAATTTATATTTTAAATTTTTAATTGACACTGTACTTTTTAAAAGAATTGTAATTAGTAAGACAGGTATTGAGCTAGCGCGTAATTGTAAGTTGTAACTAGTCCTGGAGACTTAACAATCCAGGAACACAACAAATTGGCGATAGGCCTCATTTGTTGGGCTACAAGTTTGGGCCGAGCTTTTTCCTCCTTAAGAGTTAAAATATTACCCAAATGTATTTCGTAATCGATTATGTCATTACACACAAAAAAATAAATAAATAAATAAATTGAATGGACAAGGTTTTACGTTTATTTTAATTTATTTTGTTGGGAGACTGGATTCATGAACCAGTCTCCACTATAAAAATCGTAACTAAGCAGCCTCTGCTTTATTGAAAATCAAAGTCCAATCGCCATGGCCGAAGAAGTGAAGCTTTTCGGATTTTGGGCAAGCCCTTTTAGCCGCAGAGTTGAGGTTGCTTTGAAGCTCAAAGGAATTCCATATGAATACATCGAGGAAGATCTCTCCAACAAAAGTCCTCTGCTTCTAAAATATAATCCAATTTACAAGAAAATACCCGTTCTTGTACACAACGGCAAACCTATTGCAGAGTCCCACGTTATTCTTGAATACGTTGATGAAACTTGGAAAGGATATCCTATTTTGCCTGAGGATCCTCATGAGAGAGCCATGGCTCGTTTTTGGGCTAAATTCTTGGATGAGAAGGTACTTAATTAAAATTTAAGCACCGTTCACTTTTTTTTAATATTAATTATTTTCTGAGTATAAATCTTAATTTCTGTTTTGAGGATTCAGTGTCTTCCTGCGGTGAGGAAAGTAATATGGGCTGAAGAGAAGGAGCAAGGGAAAGCCATGGAAGAAGCTTGGGAGTGTTTAAAGGTACTTGAAGGTGCGTTGAAGGACAAGAAATTCTTCGGAGGAGAGACAATTGGATTGGTAGATATTGTTGGCAACTATATCGCCTTCTGGGTGAGGGCATTTCAAGAGGTTGTCGGAATTGAGCTACTGACGGTGGAGAAGTTCCCTGTTTTATTCAAATGGAGCGAGGAGTTTGTTGGGTGTCCCATTATCAAGGAAAGTCTGCCTCCTAGAGAGAAAATAATGGCCTTTCACAAGTCTCGCCTTGAAAGGGCCAAATAATTGATTCCTCTATATCATGATTGTGTCAAGTTAGGGGGCTTTTCGTTTCTGTAATCCCAAATTTAGGAAGATGTTTCAAGTTGTAGTTGCTCTGGTTTTTAAAGTAATGCACCCCCAAAAAAAAAAAATAGTGTTGTTCCAATGTTGATTGCAATACTTTAATAAACTACTTGATTATGAAATTTAGAAACTTCCAATAATGACCTGGCGTGTCATATGAATAGTTGCATATCAAATTACAATATTTGATTCATCAATAAAAAGATACAATTATAATAATTTGTATAAATTCATAGTGAAATACTAAGATTATATATATATATTTTTTATTTAATAGTCAAGTGTCTTCATATTAAACTGTGCATCTTGAAACTATTTTATTTTTAGTTCAATTAAAGGTAAATTATCTAGACTAAGATTAAGAAACTCAAGAGGAATTGTCTCTTTATTAGCCTTCCCAAAGAATAAAATCTTAATAAGATATAGAGTAAATTTTATTACCAACTAGATCACAACTTCTTGAATATTATATGATATTTTTTTTTTTATTAACCCCCTTTTCATTCCTTTCATTTTTGAGGTGGTCTATTGAATTACGACATTATAGTACTAGTAAAGATATAAAGATAAAGATAAAGATAAAGATAACATTTTTGGTGATAGTTGGATAATTAAACTAAAGTGATAATCATAGTTAAAATAGAAAAAAAAAAAAAATTTCAAGCCAGCAAATCAGACCTAGAGTAATAGATTCAGCCCAGAAGTAAAAACCTGGCCAAAAAATGAAACGCAAAAAGGCCCCACTAGTTGGGGTTCTGGATTTAGGCCTGGAATACATTTCTGTTATGGGCTTTTTGCCATGATTTGG